CAGCCCTGCTCACCGTGGTGATGGAGTAGATGGGGTTGAGGATGGTGAAGAGCAGCACGTTGTTGACGCCGCGCGCGTCGTCGCTGTCGCCGGGCCGCGAGATCTTCTGGCTGGTGGAGTAGTTGACGAAGGCCGGGTGACCGGCGAAGTAGATCTGGTTGTCGGCGGCGTAGTTGACGGCGTTACAGGCGCCCAGGATGTCCTCGAACTCCACCAGCGCCTGACGCTTCTTTGGCATCACCACCACGTAACTGGGACAGGGACGTTGTCACTGGGATGTCCCCAACCCATGGTGTCCCCAACCCATGGTGTCCCCAACCCATGGTGTCACCACCACATAACTGGGACAGGGACGTTGTTACTGGGATGTCTCCAACCCATGGTGTCCCCAACCCATGGTGTCCCCAACCCCTGATGTCACCACCACGTAACTGGGACAGGGACGTTGTCACCGGGATGTCCCCAACCCATGGTGTCCCCAACCCCTGACATCACCACAGAGCTGGGACAGGGACGTTGTCACCGGGATGTCCCCAACCCATGGTGTCCCCAACCCCTGACATCACCACGTAACTGGGACACGGACGTTGTCACTGGGATGTCCCCAACCTATGGTGTCCCCAGCCCACGGTGTCCCCAACCCCTGACATCATCACCACGTAGCTAGGACAGGGATGCTGTCACTGGGACGCCCCCAACCCGTGGTGTCCCCAACCCACAGTGTCCCCAAACCCTGATGTCACCACAGAACTGGAACAGGGACATTGTCACTGAGATGTCCCCAGCCCAGTGTCCCCAAGCCCTGACATCACCACTACGTAACTGGAACAGGGACATTGTCACTAGGCTGTCCCCAAACTACAGTGTCCCCAACCCCTGATGTCACCACCACGTAGCTGGGACAAGGTCGTTGTCACTGGGATGTCCCCAAACTACAGTGTCACCAACCCCTGACATCCCCACAGAGCTGTGACACGGACTTTGTCGCCGTGGTGTCACCTCCCCCACGTGTCACCGCCACAAAACTGGGACAGGGGACACAGCGCTGTCACCGCTGTCACGGGATCACCGTCACCGTGGCGTCACCAGCCCCGTGCAGCGTCCCCCCAGTGCCACCACAACGTCACCATAGCGAGCCCACAGCCACCAGTGTCCCCAGAGTGTCCCCGGTGTCACCCCTGTGCCACCCAGAGTGCCCAGCACGCTGTCCCCGGTGTCCCCTCGGTGTCCCCAGAGCGCCCCCAGTGTCACGCTGGAGTGCCCAGCACGCTGTCCCCGGTGTCCCCTCAATGTCCCCGGTGTCACGCTGGAGTGCCCAGCACACTGTCCCCGGTGTCCCCTCGGTGTCCCCACTGTCCTCTCGGTGTTCCCGGTGTCACCCTGGAGTGCCCAGCACACTGTCCCCAGTGTCCCCTCGGTGTCCCCAGTGTCCTCTCAGTGTCCCCGGTGTCACCCCGGAGTGCCCAGCACGCGGTCCCCGGTGTCCCCTCAGTGTCCCCTCGGTGTCCCCGGTGTCACCCTGGAGTGCCCAGCACGCTGTGCCCGGTGTCCTCTCAGTGTCCCCGGTGTCACCCCGGAGTGCCCAGCACGCGGTCCCCGGTGTCCCCTCAGTGTCCCCTCGGTGTCCCCGGTGTCACCCTGGAGTGCCCAGCACACTGTCCCCAGTGTCCCCTCGGTGTCCCCAGTGTCCTCTCAGTGTCCCCGGTGTCACCCCGGAGTGCCCAGCACGCGGTCCCCGGTGTCCCCTCAGTGTCCCCGGTGTCCCCAATATCCCCTCAGTGTCCCCTGAGTCACCCCGGCGTCACCCCGGAGTGCCCAGCACACCGTCCCCAGTGTCCCCTCGGTGTCCCCTCGGTGTCCCCACCTGATGGGCCCGAACTCCTGCAGCGCCTCCACCAGATCGGCCTCCACGATGCCATCGATGAGGCCGCGGATGTGAACCACGGGCGACGCCGGCGTTTTGTGGGGGTCCTCGTAATTCTCCTGAGGGGACACCGAGGCCTTGTGGATACCCCAAAACCCCGCGGGCCTCCCTTACACCCCTTAAGATTTAACAACCCCCTGAAAGTTCAATAAACATCCGCGCTCCTCGATATTTGCCGCCCGCAGCAATCTCCCTAAATAATCCCCCCTCAAAGAAAATATTTTACCCCCCTCGGCCCTTCCCGCTGTATTTGCCCCCCTCAGAACCCCTCTCCCCACATCTGCCCCCTCAGAGAA